GTAAAATATTCAAACAACAATAACATCAACTAATAAATAAGAACAATGAAAAAATGGCAACCAAAAATAACAATCAACAATAACTTCTAGGGTTGTCTAACCTCTCAACCTCCCTGCATGCGAAGAGAACTTCCTAACAATCAGAAAGGGACAACTTTATCTTGGAGAAATGGGAGGTTCAGTTACATAAAAGGTATACTCCTGGGGTGCTATTACATAGCACTCCTTAACAGACAGTACCTAGAGCATGCTACTGCTGCTGGATCTGATGGAACAAGCAGAGACAGTTGTGAAAAGTTGGTCCCACAGATATTTGGATCCCATACCATGTAGATGGCATGAGTTACATCAGCAAACCATTAACATTTATTGATAAATACATTAAACAAACAGAGGTGTGTTACTGACTAAGTTTTGAACTGTTCTCAAAACATCCAATGACTTCTCAGATATGTTTTACTTCTATTGTATCATATATCTTGGTGCATTCAGCAGCCAGGTTTCAGTGTCATATTCAAGCAGAAACTTCCATACAGTAGTTCAGGCTGATTTACTTTATCATACACTTTCTCTAAGTCAAATATTGTATTATTTTGTTGGACCAACATTTCTAGCAATTGTTTTTAGTTTAGTCATTTAATAAAATAAACGGTTGCTACATAATCATATCATTTACTCACATTTGCAGCAAATATATTTGTACACATATATAAACTTTTAATGTAAGGAAGAGGAAAAGATGAGGAAAACACTTAAAGTATAAAACACAAATTGTAGAAGAAGAAAATTGTATTCATGGTTCCAAATCTCTGTAGGAATTTGGAAACATGTCTTTTATCAGATATACTTTATTTTCTTCCTCCTTCCACCCTAAAAGTATTGAGAGCATAGCATATTTTCTGCAAAATTATTCTTCTAGTTGACATTGACTTGAAGGCACACAAGTACACACATATTCCTAATAATAATCCAATCTAAGAAATCTAATCAAAGAAATAGATGTAGTTTTATTGTATATAATATTGATGTTTTAATTTGGAGAGAGGAATTGCTCGGGCATTTCCCCTGGACTGCATCCGGAGTGAGAAGATAAGAGGAAGGGGAGAAGTAAGTAGGAAGATTGAGGAGAAGGAGGAGAGGGGGAGAGTGAGGAAGAAGAGGGAAAGAGGGAAGTGAGAGAAGAGGTTAGAGAGTGGATGCGGTTTGGGGGGAAATGGGTGAGCAATACCGAAAGTTGTGTATATAAATTTATTTTACTCTTTATCTGAAGTATTTTTTATGAATGTAATGTAAAATTGAAAATAAAAAACTTTTTCACAAAAAAAGAAAGAAATAGATGTAACAATAATTTATTAGATTATATCCCTAATAAATCTATTCCCAGTAAATCAAATCTAATAATTAGATCTAAGGATAATTTATGATATGTGTATTCTTAAAATATTATTCCCAATACATATAATTAATAAATTTAATATATATCTATTTTATTTCTAATAAATCTAATTAATAAATTTAATATATATATCTATTTATTAGATTATATTCCTAATTAATCGGTAACTTTCCTTTTGTTCAGGAGCTCCAATACTTTATTCTAACATCTACAAAACAATCATTATTAGGCACAAAGCAGTGATAGAGGAGGAAGAAGAAAAGGAGGAGGAGTTACTTCTGAGAATTTTGCTGACTTCAGGGTTGGAAAATGTAACTATGCACCTTATGATTATCTAAGGTGATAATTATGAACTCCTCATTAATCTCAAAGCAGAAAGAATATTTTTTTCATTCTAATTGCATACAGGTGTATAACTCCTGAACTGATCAAAGGGAGGGGGCAGTTAATATATGTATGTGTATATCTATGTATGTATCCAACTATCTATCCATCTATCCATGGATTCAGTGGACCAGTGCATATACATTTACTGGTAGGAACCAGAATCAGAAAGACCATGGCAAACTAAATAGCTGGATGATGATGATGATCAAAGGAGTAGGAGATCTTAAATTAAGGGACAATCATCTTGCCTGTTGCACAAGAGGGTCCTTCTTGTCCCTGAGACTTCTTGTGTGTTTGCTGCTGCTGCCACCAACAGATTGTGTGCTATCTCCTGCAGTGTGTACTATTCCTGAGTCTCTGAAAGTGCAATACCAATATTTTCAGCCAGGTGATGTGATAATTGGTGGGATAATTTCACAGCTTTTCTCCTTTTCTGAAGGAACAGACTTCAGCTCACACCCTACACCCAAGTGTGATGTTGAACCTGTGTAAGAAAAACCATTGATTTCTGTAATACTTGGCTATTTCCTGGCAGTGCCACTGATGTGCTTTCAGCAACTCTGCATAGATTCTAGTAGTTAGATTATTTTTACTCCTACATCCATTTATTCTGCTCTTCTGGTAATAGAAAACAGATTGAAATAGTGGTCAGACCCAACACACATATGTGGTAACCTTGTTATTTTTCATCCCAGCAACCTCTATCTTACAGATCTTGGGTTTAACCCAACTATTTGGCTTAAATTTAAAGCTCCAGCACTGAGCAAGCAGTTGGATATTATGATGTAAACTTCTCTTCTAGCTCTATGATTCTATCATATTTGCCAGACCTGATCTTTTTACATCTGATAAGATCAAATCAATAAGATATGCTATATTTGAATGTGTGAAGTGGGAAAACCTGCATCAGTCTTGCCTCAATCTTCTATTACTTAAAGTCCTTGCTATTATATACGTACCATTATTTATAACGGCGTGCCTGGCTGAGGAATTGTGGGAGTTAAAATCCATAAGTCATAAAAGGGCCAGGTTTGAAGACCCTTAGACCTAGATTTATACCCTAGACTTCCTACTCAAAAATCATTGGGGGAAAATTCAATAAGGTCCATAGGTCTCTGACCTTGTGAGATGCCAGAAGCAAGCAATATTTGTTCCTGAGCATACTTTCTCTGAAAATGGACTTCTGCCTTAGAGTTTAGAAAAGTTGAAATATTGGAGAAGGGCAGAACCATTACAAGCAAACAACCTATTCTTCTAATTAAAGGTAACTACATTCTAAGTTTCAGGTTTCTCATTCTCCAATGTTCTCCATCAGTAAATATAGGGTGCCTCTTGCAGGAATAATGTGCAAATGTTCACAACATTGACCTTCATGGCTTACTCAAGATGTGTCTTTTACTTTAGTATAATGCTGAAAAAATATCAGCACACCCTAGCCTTGGCATTTGCAGTGAATGAAATCAATGGAAACAGCATGATCTTACCCAATAGAACTCTGGGATTTCATGTCTATGATAGCCACTTTGATGCCCAGATAACTTATCAGAACACGCTGAACCTGCTCTTTAATCAGAAGCCAACTATTCTCAACTACAACTGCAGCAAGAAGATACCAGCCGCTGTCATTGGGGGTACTGACTCGGAAACTTCCCTTCACATAGCTACTATCTTAGGGATCTACAAGATTCCTCAGGTAAGGTGGATTACAGATCTATTTGTTTAGCAACTTATTATCTTCTACAGTGTGTCTCAATATTGATAATTTTAAGATGAATAGACTTCAAATCCCAGAAGTTGATATGCTAAAAAAAGAAACTTACTATCTGCATTTATTAAAAAAGTAGTTGCATTTATTAAGAAACTTACTATCTACATTGTATTGATTACATTTTCTCTATAGTGATGTACCAAAAGCAGGTTGATCTGAGTAGAAATAATATGACTTCTTCTAAGTATTGTTTGGGAATACAAAGAGTTTTAAGAACTCATTGCCAGCACCAGGAAATATGTTTAATCTTCATTTTTTTTCTTGTACTAAAGTGATGCTATTTCATTCTCCTTCTCTGGTAATGTGATATTGCAGGAAGGGAGAGAGTTGTCAGATTTTTTTTCTCATTTGCTCTGTGGTAAATTTGTTTATAAAAGTGTTAATCAACCATTTAAAACACAATTTAATTATACAAGTTATCAATGAATAATATGAAAAAGGGGTTCTTTGTTGGAAGGATAAAACTTTGTCCTTCTCAACAGGATTTACGTTTTACATTCTCACAATGCCAACTGGCATTTATCTTTAATATGGTGGTTATCGTCTTTCCCTTTATGCTGACCTTAACTATTCTCTTTTTTCTGTTCTTTCTTTCAGTTCCTTTTGTTCTCTACATTCCTTATTCCCAATATCATAACATCACAGAAGGGGATCAAAAGTAATCTTTCTAGTGTACATAAATAATCACTGATTCTTTTAAAAATTCTTTTAAACTTACATAAACCCACATAACAGACAAACATGACAACAGGAAAGTTTCATACTAATTGTTATGCTAGGTGACAGCACTTAGTTGGCACTGACTGATCTTAGAATGTAACCAGGGAAATAAAAGGAATAATTATAAATCAGAAATAAATAGTGAAAAATGAGAGCAAGTAGAAAAATGTTTGTACTTCATGTGTTGTTAACTAGAGATGGGAAAATGGATGACAAAAGAAATAATATGTATAAAGGCAGGTAAAAAGAAGTCATGGTAATATGGAATCTGTTATGCAGAACAAATGGTTCTTATTTATTTTCTTATTTATTTATTCATTCATTCATTTATTTTGGGTTAGGGTTAGGTTGTAAATAAAGAGAAAGCAAGATTTGAGTTGGACATGGAATATTTTTACTGAACTTCAGCATAGGGGTGACTGCATGCCATTTTTTTTTTATTTCACTACACTTTTATGAAGTTAAAGTGGAGAAGAGAAGGCAATTTGAGGTTGTCAACATGAGAAAAAGAACTAGCATTATAGAAAAGTACCTGACCCTATAGATATTTTTGTATTTCCCCAATATAAATGGAATTATGTTCTTTAGGTCACCTATTGTTTATATACTCCACCAGTGAATGATATAAGCCACCTGTCTTTCTTATACCGCATGGTACCTAATGAAGCACATCAGTATACTGGGATTGTCCAGCTGTTGCTTCATTTTCAATGGAAGTGGATTGGGATCATGGCCATGGACGATGATAAAGGAGAAACTTTTGTGAAGACCTTAGAAAAAAGCTTTTCTGATAATGGAATCTGTATTGCCTTTACTGAACGAATGCCACTCCAAAGCAACATTTTTGGTATTGTTAGTTTCAATGACATGTTTAGGGAAATAGCCCTGTTGCTGAGTAGAGCAAGTGTCAATGTCTGCGTTATAAGTGCTGATGCTCACATGATGTTAGATTTGCAGCTAGTGCTCAATCTCGCTGAATCAGACATGATACTCCCAGTGGAGAAGGTATGGGTGATGACAGCCCATTGGGATTTTTCAGTGGAGCCCTTTTTAAATAATTTAAATATGCAGATCTTCCATGGTGCCTTGTCCTTCACAAGTCACACCTCTGAGATGTCAGCATTTCAGAATTTCCTTCTCTTCCAGGATCCCCATTCTCTTACCGATCATTTTATCAGAGTCTTCTGGGAACAAGCATTTAAATGCTCATTTCCAGCTTCTGCAATAGACATGAAGAACCAGGGAAGCTGCACTGGCAATGAGAAACTAGAAAACCTCTCACACCCTTTTTTTGAAATGAGCATGACTAGTCAAAGCTACAGTGTTTATAATGCTGTTTATGCTGTGGTGCGCGCTTTGCATACATTATATTCATCCAAAGAGAAATATGGAGCATTGTTGGTTAGAGATCATCCAAGGACTTCTAAATCACAATATTTTCAGGTAACATTTCAGCTCGAAGGCAGATTTTTTTGATCATCAATGTTATTGTTAATATTAATGCTTTGATTTATATAAGAAGGATTCTCATGCTGTATATAATGCATTACTGTGCATTCCCAAAGGAGATACAGTGAAGGTGAGACAGTGATTATTCACTTGATTTATGACCACAATGGGGATCAAAATTTCCATTGCTAAGCAAGTCAGTTGTTAAGTGAGTCCTGCCCAATTTTATAACTCTTTTTGTCCTGATTGTTAAGTGAGTCATTGTAGTTGTTGAGAGAATTACATGATTGTTAAGTGAATCCAGCTTCTCTCATTGACTTTACTATCAAAAGCTGGATGGGAAGGTCACAAATAGTGATCATATGATCCCAAGACACTGCAACTGTCTAAATATATACCAGATGCCAAGCACCCAAATTTGGATCACATGGCTTTGAGGATGCTGCCATAGTCAGAAATGCAAAGACCAATCATAAGTTATTTTTTCAGTGTGATTGTAACCTTGAATGATCAATAAATGCATGGCTGTAAGTCTAGGACTACCTGAAAACAATGTAGGTAAAATATATGCAAGTAGACTCCATAGTGTAATAAAAGACTATCATTTTTGTAAGTTTTGAAAGAAATGAGAAGTTTATTCTTGCAGATGCATGATGCTACAAAATCCAGAATTTATACCTAGATATCAAATCCGTCATTTTGCAGAATATTCTAACTTAAGTAAATAATAAAAAATTGCATAATAAGTGATAGCAGGAAAAGTATACATAATTGCTCAATAATCACTTGGATACCTGCCCAGCCTCTCTGGGAAGCAGACAGCATATAAATTTACAGTAATCATAACACCAGTGACGTAGGTGTATCAAGATATTTCTATGCAAAAAAATATATATTTATTTTTAAATTTGAAATACATTATCTGCTAGTTCTTAGTATCCTTTTAAAAACTGAGTTGAACTAAAATATTTGATTGGGGAAGGAAATAATGAGACCACCAATAATGGAATGATAAAATAATTAAATAGCTTCAGAGTATAGCAAAACTTTATTCCAAGCAAAACATTTTTCACTTTTCCCACCACTTTGGTAATACTTGTCAAAACTTCATTTATTCCAGCTTTACCATTTCCTAAGTCAAGTCTCCTTTAATAACAGTGCCGGAGACAAGGTGTCTTTTGACAAGAAGGGTGAATTGCTAGCTGGATTTGACATTATCAACTGGGTTACTTTCCCTAACAAATCCTTCGTGAAAGTAAAAGTGGGACAAATGGATCCTCAAGCACCCTCAGGGAGAAAGTTCTCCATCAATGAAAGAAAAATCACATGGCCGACCCATTTTAACCAGGTAGGATGCCAATTGTTTCCAGTTTGAAAACCAAAATAGATACCCTTCTTCTCAGCAATTAACGATTCCCAATATTTTAAAAATAAGTGTCTGGATGAGGACATACTTGATGTTTTTGATCCTGTTTGTGAAATTTGTGGATAAGTAAAGCTAGTTTGCAAGGGGAAGGGGGACTGAAAGAAATTGATGGCTTCTGTTCTCTTTTTCTGCAAGGAAATGGAGAGCTTTCAAATGGGAAAATGCTTAGTTGCCCCAAGAAGGTTCTACTGGGTATCTTTAATACCTCTGATCGAGGAGATGCATTTTTATTATTGAGTCTTGCCGGTCTAGGTTTTAGGCCCTCCTTATTGCCTAAACTTACAAGTCACATTAGCCCCAGGCCACATGGTGATAGTTAGAACAATTAATCAGTGGAACAACTTGCCTCCAGAAGTTGTGAATGCTCTAACACTGGAAATTTTTAAGAAAAGACTGAACGGCCATTTGTCTGAAATAGTATAGGGTTTCCTGACTGAGCAGGGGGTTGGACTAGAAGACTTCCAAAGTCCCTTCTAACTACTACTACTACTACTACTACTACTACTACTACTACTGTTGTTGTTGTTGTTGTTGTTGTTATTTGTTTTCTCCCTGTCCTTTATACAATTAGTTTTGGGGGATTATTTTAGATTTCCTAAAAGAGCAGATTAGTGGCCCTGTGCTGAAGACAGTTGCCTCCCACTTGAAAAATTGAGAGTTCAATCCTATCTCCCCCTCAGGGGGCAAAGAAAAAAATATTTGCTATGAACAACATGTGGCATCAGGAAGAGCATCTGGCCAGGAAACACTCAGATCCATCCAATAACCCTGACTTTACATCCAATTAAGAGATTGCAGATCATAAAAAGGATGTTTTTATTGTAGATTTCCTACAAACACAAAGACACAAGCAGACAAAATTAACACATGCATATGAATATTTCTAGAGGTTTATGTTGCATGTACTGATTTCCAAAAAAAAGTTGGATTCAAGGGAATAAAATACATTTCTCTCTCTCAATAATGAATAGACAATACCTCTTGCTCTGTGCAATGATCATTGCCCACCAGGTTCCAGAAAGAAAAGGAAGGAAGGGGAGCCATTTTGTTGTTATGATTGCAATACTTGTCCATCAAGAAAGTTTTCAAATGAAAGAGGTAGGAAATATTGTATTGTAATGCTTGTACATGTGCAAATGGGTATATCCATAAAGACACACACATTTCCGTTCCAAGACCCATAGCTGTCCATTGATATTTTTTTTACATAGAATGATTTCAATTAGTAAATTTGGTAAACTAAAATATGCACAATTTGAAATAATGAATTCTGAAATATATATTTTCACAGATATGGATGACTGCTTAGACTGTCCAGAAGAACAATATCCAAACAAGGGAAAAAATATCTGCATTCCCAAAGTTTTAAATTTCTTGTCTTATAATGAAACTTTAGGCATCACTTTGACTATTCTGGCTTTATCATTTTCTGTGACCACAGTGGCAGTACTTGGAATTTTCATAAAACATCGGAATACTCCCATTGTCAAAGCTAACAACCGGAATCTCACTTATATTCTCCTTGTTTCCCTCTTCCTCTGCTTCCTCTCTTCCTTGCTATTCATTGGTCAACCCCAATTGCTGACCTGTCTTCTTCGCCAAATTGCTTTTGGGATCATCTTCTCAGTTGCTGTTTCTTCAGTTTTGGCCAAAACCATCACAGTGGTTCTAGCTTTTATGGCCACTAAGCCAGGATCAAAAATGAGAAAATGGGTGGGGAAAAGATTTTCCAACTCTCTGATTCTCTGTTGTTCCTGCATTCAAGCAAGTATTTGCATACTGTGGCTATATACTGGCCCTCCCTTCCCAAATCTGGACATGCATTCTCTTCCAGAAGAGATTGTGGTCACATGCAATGAAGGATCAGGCAACATGTTCTATTATATTTTAGGCTATATGGGATTGCTGGCTCTTATCAGCTACATTGTGGCTTTCTTTGCTCGGAAGCTGCCAGACACTTTTAATGAAGCCAAATTTATTGCTTTTAGCATGCTGGTATTCTGTAGCGTATGGGTGTCTTTTGTCCCAACTTATCTGAGCACCAAAGGAAAATACATGGTAGCTGTGGAGATCTTCTCCATCTTGGCTTCCAGTATAGGAATATTGGGATCTTTATTTTTCCCTAAATGTTACATAATTGTACTGAGGCCAGAACTCAATACAAAGGAGCACCTAAAAACAAAAAATTAACAATTACTCATATCCATTGATTTTGAAAACTTAGCATTGGCTTTGAGAAGAAAATTGGAAAGATAAAATGTTGCTCAGTTGTGAAGAAGAAAGTGTAAGATAAAGACTCAGAATAGCCCCAACTTGACCTCACTGTCTGTTAATATAACCTATAACAATAAAATAATATTCCTGGAATCCCTGCAACATCAGTTTTGTGACCTGACCTACTTGAAAACATCATTAGAAAGTAAACATATTTGATTATATTTCTTTTTCAGATCTTAAACCAGCTGAACAAAGACAGGATACTGTATTTATTTCACTGTATAAACTGTATATCTATGTTCACTTTTATCCTCCATTTCATATTTATTTCATATTATATATCCTCTCATTAAAAGAGTTCCATTATGACTGCTATTTATTTTGACTGGTGCGATAAAAGGCAGATTGCTAACCATTGTTTAAAGTTAAACTTGCAATATGTGAAAATATAATGTATAATGGGCACTCCTTTTCAGCGTCTGTGGAAGTTTCTAGGTAAGAATAAAAATGGTTGGCTGGCTAGAGCCTGCTGGCTGGGAAACTGAAGGCCACACATCATAAAATTATTTTGGTTGAGAAACACTGGGCTCAGAGTCGACTCCTTCATGTGAAGCCATAACAAGCTGACCCATTTCAACCTGTCTGAATTCTTGGCCCACCTGCTTCACAAAGTGAGGCATCATAAAAAATTATGAAAGTGAAAATGGCTGGTTTAATTATACCCCATGTCTGCCCTCCTATCCAAGCATTTTTAATTACTTTTAAGATAATTTTATGGTTCTTTTGGGTCATAAGAATGCAGTACAACATATTTAATGGATAAAGTCAAAGGACTATGCACTCCATCATATTATTTCCTCAACTGATCAAATGCCTACAGGATGCCTATAGGAAACTTAAATGTGGATATAATCATGCCCTTAAGAACCAACTTATTTCTAATCCTGGAGGTATAATACCAACTTATGCCTACTAGCCACTCATAAACTTATCTTCACTACTCTGCAATGCATTCTAAGGTATATAACATCACAAGATCATATGGAAGCAGATTCTTTAGCTAAATATGTGATTTAGCAGTACTCTATTCCTTAGGCAGAATTCTTTTTAACAGACCTTCTTACTTCAGTTTCTTTACATGTTGGTTCCAGAGAGTTTTCTTGGCCATATAAAACATATATTTACTGTGAAACCATGTGTCCTCTTAATATATTGGAACAGAATTATTTTTTTCCTAGCTATATGCTACAGTTACTCCTTGTCATTTCCCCACCCATCATCTTATAGCCAGGTACCATTTCCATATCTAAGATTTGCATTTCTAAAACCACTCTTGAAATGTTACATTCTGTTTTGCTTGCCACAATATAAAAAGATGTTGAAATTTTAGAAAGAGTGCAGAGAAGAGCAACAAAGATAATTGGGGACTGGAGGCTAAATCATATGAAGAACAGTTAGAGGAACTGGGTTTGTCTAGTCTAATGAAGAGAAGGATATGAGAGCAATCTTCCAATATCAAGGAAGCTGCCACAAAGAAGAGGGGGGTCACCTATTGTCCAAAGCACCTGAAGGCAGGACAACAAGTAATGGATAGAAACTAATCAAGGAGAGAACCAGCCTAGAACTAAGGAAAAAAATTCCTGACAGAACAATTAATCAGCAGAACAGCTTGCTTCCAGAAGTTATGGGTGCTCCATCACTGGAGGTTTTTCAGAACAGCCATTTGTCCAGAATGGTATAGAGTCTCCTACTTGAACATGGGTGTACAAGAAGACCAATTCTTCCATCTTTGCTGTTCTATTATTCTGTTATATCATAACAAGATATGATAAACATGTTTTCTTCATAATTTCTGATGTCATGGAGGTTACAATCCTCTTGAGATGGTAATTCCTGTCATTATCACAAAGTGCTGTGATTTATCTTCTATTCTGGAAAGACTGATTAAGCTTTATAAGTCTATAGGCACATGCAATAGTAACCCTATTTCAGTCTGTTTCTTTTATCCTTTTTGGAAAACATTTTTCAGAAGTCTGGAAATCACTAAGTGTCACACTTAGTATGACGATGGCACTAGACTGAGGTAAAGGATTTGGTGTATAAGAGAAGGTACTTCTTCATTCTTGCAGATGTCAAAGCTCTTCCTTTTGCTGCTACTTTTAGTGTTTCCACAAATTGAGGGGAAAGCTCTTCCTAATTCATGTTGTGTGAATTATTCCCTTCCTATTCAACATGAGTATTATCAGCCCGGAGACTTCATCATTGGTGCAATCTTTTCTCAACTCTTCATGCCAAAATTCGATCCATTATTTTTCACTGAGGATCCCCTGGCAATGGTTGAAGACATGTATACGTAAGGAAACCTTTTTTTTTTGCCCTCTCTGACAAAATGTTTAAATAATCACCTAAGTAGTTATGAGAAACAAAGGAATGTGGAGTTACGCTTCTTAAAGAAAGACAGACCTCATCTTGTTCATATAAACAAAGCTATCAACAAATGGCCTAAATGAAGTTTTAAAATATTAGGCAGGCAGGCAGGCAGGCCAGCAGAAATGCAGGAAGGAAGGAAGGAAGGAAGGAAGGAAGGAAGGAAGGAAGGAAGGAAGGAAGGAAGGAAGGAAGGAAGGAAGGAAGGAAGGAAGGAAGGAAGAAGTTTTGTTTAAAAATTAGTACGAATGCTTCATAAAAGCTTGTTCTAAGTTTTGCTCTCATTTAGGACTTTGGCAGTGTCTAATTGTTCAATGCCCCTGAGGAAATGCTACTAATCATGAAAAAGGTTATTTTATAATAAGGTTATTTACTCCTTAGGCTACCATAGAATTCTTCACAGTAAGGCAATTTCCATTATTGACATAGATAATGGTCTGACAGTTGTCAACAAGTCATATTTGAAAAATTAATATTGTGGCTCTTTGCAGTCCATTATTAGGTCCATTATTCCATTACAAATATAAGAAATTTGTTCAGCGAAAAAAATGTGCTGCACTTTTTCAGTTGGTGGACTGCTTGCTGCTTCCATTTCATTAAAATCAGCTTCCAAGTCTGATCTGTATTGTCATCATGTCCAATCCTGCCAGTCTTATAATTTCAAAAATAAGTTAGACAATTAAGAGGATAATATGAATCTTTATCTTACCACTTCTGTTTTCATAATTATTATTTCTCTGCATAGTTCCTCACTTTGCCTTTTATATAAATTAAGCATACAAAATCTGTGCTGTATGTTCATTTTATATTCTAAAGATACATCATCTAGATTAAATCTTGCTGCTACACAGTATTTTCTAATGTATCCTAGCTGACCAGATAACATTTCTTTATGTAGTTAAACAACATTTAAGGAAGAATAGAATACAGTGCAGTAAAGGAACTTGTTTGATCCTTAACCCTTTCTTCTTTCCTTCCTTCCTTCCCTCTCTCCCTCTCTCCCTCTCTTACTTCCTTCATTCCTCAGATCTCTGAGGATTTGTTTCAAAAGTACCAAATTATTTTAAAGTCTGACAATAGCAATAGCACTTAGACTTACTGTGTATACTGCTTCACAGTGCTTTACAGCCCTCTCTAAGCAGCTTACAGAGTCAGCATATTGCCTCCAACAAACTGGGTCCTCATTTTACCGACCTTGGAAGGATGGAAGACTGAGTCAACCTCGATCCAGTCAGGATCAAAGTAATCAAATTGTTGGCAGTACTGCATTTTAACCACTGCACCACCATGGCTCTAGTCAACCTTTAGCTGCAACCATTTTGTTGTTTGTTATGTCCCATTATGGGTATTAAACAGGAGCGTGATTCCAGTAACTGTACAAGATTGTGTGTACATACATACAATGTTCTTCTTGTTCTAGCACAGTGCCCAAGAACTATCAGCATGTTCTGTCAATGGTGTTTGCTGTGAATGAGATCAATGAAAACCTAAAACTTTTACCCAACATCACCTTGGGGTTCCAGATCTATGAAAGTTACTTCAGTGCACGCATGGCTTATCAAAATACGCTGAACCTTGTATCTCGCCATAACAAGACCGTCCCCAATTACAAGTGTGATGTTGAAAGGAATCTGATAGCAGCCATTGGGGGTCTTGATTCTGAAATCACTCTACATATGGCCTCCATCTTAACCCTTTACAAAATTTCTCAGGTAAGATGGGTAGAGATAATGAAAGTTTCTATCAGTAAAATAAAAATAACCAGTGTGAAAATAAAAGTCCACTTGAGAGAAACCAGAGTGTAATAAGTTGAAAATAATATTATTATGGCAATTCAATTTCATTTGTTCACTTGAGGGGGAGATTCAAGAGAGATTGAAAAATAGAAAATGTTTTGGTATTTAGCTGAAGAATAACTCCTTTTCAACTGATGTTGATGCTGTGAAGATGTTAACCCACTTTGCTTCAAAGAAATTGCAAAAGAATCCTAATTGTTGCAACAATCCAGTTTGAAGTGTGTGAGTCATTCACCCTTGAAAGCTCTCAATGAATTTTGTTTGCTCTCAAAAACCAAACAGAGTTGGACTTTGTCAAGCTGGACTTTGTTAAGTGGGAAATTATCAAGTATGCAAGAACTGTAGGCTTCTTTGGGAAATGTTATCTATCCAACACAATCTTTCTATCTCACTATCTACCTATCAAACTCTTGGAAAAATGCAAAAATAAAGCTCCTTTTCTTTTCTTTTCTTTTCTTTTCCTTTCCTTTCCTTTCCCTTTCCCTTCCTTATTTTTGTTAGTTTGCAAGAAATGATAATCAGAAGCATTTGAATGGTGTAATCTTCAGGTAAGGATACTAATAGTTAATATGACAACAAATAACCAGTGGAAGAGTTCGCCTTCAGAAGTTGTGGCTGCTTCATCAATGCAGATTTTTAAAAAGAGACTGGATATGAAATGGTAGAGAATCTCCTGCTTGTGAAGGGGGTTAGACTAGAAGACCTCCAAAGTCCCTTCCAGCTCTGTTTTATTCCTGTCTTTCCAAGCATGTTTGGTAAAGATGGGGGGGGAAATGCCTAATCTTAAGATATATATTGTATTATATATAATGGTTTTCCCTGCTATTTCATGTACAATATCACAGTATAGACTTCTTTATTTGCTTTTACAAAAATAGTTTCTATATAAAGGTGTACAGTATTTAGATTTGAAGCAAACAAAGATGCTTCAGATCCAGCCTGACTACCCTTGCTGAACTGTGGGTTGTTTCTTAAGGAAAATTAAGGAAAAATGTTGGACTTGGATAGTACCTGCATGGCCTCAAATAAACACATTTGAGTTAAGAAGGTATTAAGAGGCTGATTGCCAGATCCAAAGCACTTAATATGATCCAGCATTGATCTTCCACTAATAACATAATGTGGAATTCCCCTGAAAAGTGACTAGAGGATTTCAAAATTCTGGAGATTAAAATGACTTTAAAAAGAAAAGGGAAAGGAAAGATTAAAGAATCTCTGATGAAATCACTTAGAAAAACAAATCTGAGGTCCATCAAAATAAAGCAATTTCTATTATTCTCACCCCTCACTCCATTTTGGAACCAGATATTAAAGGCACTTCCCATTTTAATTGGGTATTTGGCCAAAATTAAAATGGAAATAAAAGAGTAAAATGGGATAATATTTTGTGTGTATTGTTTGTTGACTTGTTTGTTGTTCCACCTTTTATAGAATTTCACATTCCTAACCCTCCCATCCCAATTCACAACCCTATGAGGTAGATTGACTGAAAAAGAAAAACTGGCCCAAACCTACCAATGAATGTTGGTGGGCTGAAGAAGAATTAGAACTTAGATCTCTACAGTGCAAGTCCAACATCTTACATTGCCTTCATTGAATTTCTTCAAAAATGTCTAGAATTCTTGAAAGTAAGGAAAATAATCTTTAGGTGTCAAACAAATGCATGGAAGTCACTAACCAAAGGATGAACATCTCTCTAATCTCCTCTAGGTCACCTATAACTTCTTTTCTCCAGCAGTAAGAGAAAAATATCAACTTGCTTTCTTATACCAGATGACTCCTAGTGAAACTTTTCAATTGAATGGACTTGTCCAGCTTCTGTTATATTTTCAGTGGAAATGGGTTGGGATTATTGCCCTAGGAGATGAGAAAGGAGAAATGTTTGTGCAAATCTTATCATATCTGCTTTTTGAGAAAGAAATCTGTGTAGCCTTCACAGAAAGAACACCTAGTCATGAGTATTTTTTTCAGATAGATAAACTGATCAGTCAATTAAAGAATATAGTTCTATCGCTCCATCAGTCAAATGCCAGTGTAGTTGTTGCAAAGGCAGATACACATGCCATGTTGGATATTCATTGGTTGGAGCTTGTGGTTAACAATTTCAAATTACAGCCTATTGACAAAGTGTGGGTTGTGACTGCTTCTTGGGATTTCTCATCTGAAACATTTCACAGACAGATAAGTATACAGATCTTCCATGGAGCCTTATCATTTGCAATTCATTCCAAGGAGATGAGAGATTTCCAAAATTTCCTTCATAAATTGAATCCAGGTTCTGAAGCGGATGGCTTTGTCAAGCTTTTCTGGGAACAAGCATTTGACTGTGAATTTGAAGATGCAGGTGCAGGGGAGAATCAGCTGACATCCTGCACTGGAAATGAGCAGCTGGAGAACATTCCTGGACCTCTTTTTGAAATGCAGATGACGGGTCAAAGCCACAGCATCTACAATGCAATCTATGCTGTGGCTCATGCTTTCCATGCTATGGATTCATCCAAAATTAAACACAGATTGGGGATTGTTGAGTCTTCAAAACTACAACATTTTCAGGTAATGTTCTTCACATTAAGCAAGCCTACTTTTTTATGAATAGATAGCAATCTAAGGCTGCAGGATATAGAATATGTGCCATTCCTACCAAAGTAACTAGGGCAGGGCTATTGAGGGTCTCTTGGATTGCAAGGAGATCAAATCAGTCAATCCTAAAGGAAATCAACTCTAATAATTCCTTGGAAAGACAGATACTGAAGATGAAGCTGAAATACTTTGGTCACCAAATGAGAAGAGAGGACTTATTAGAAAAGACTCTGGGGGGAAATGGAAGAAAAGGAAGAAGAGGACAGCAGAGTGTGAGATGATTAGATAGTGTCATTGACACAATGAACATGGATTTGGGCAAACTCCAGGAGACAGTGGAGGACAGGGAAATCTGGTATACTATTGTCCATGGGGCTGTGGTCACAACCCTTGATGACTGAACAACAACAAGCAAACACACAGTGAGGAATGCATCTTGAATGGAATGACCTGACACAGCTGCTTAGGAGACAAAAAGAAACCTTTGGGGTGAAATTGATTAGGATCATGCCAACTTCAGACAGCTAATAATTAATTAATCAAGGTCAAGGGTTAGGACCTTTCAAGGAAGCATAGCCTGCACAGCAACAAAAAGCAGTTGAAGAAGTGTTTTTCTCCTGCAAGAGAGGAAAATCTGCAGTTAGGCAATCAGACACAGGACAGGCATGTGTATTCTGGACTTGGAATAAGACATTAATTGAGGATTATGCTACTCTACCACCAGCTTGCTGCTTAGCAGATATCAGACTGAGAAAACAGAACTGGTTTTGTAGCTGTTGGGTAGTCATCTAAACCTGCGTACCAGTCTTCAATTGCTCACATTGCTAATTTTAATTATTATTGCTATTTATCTCCATTGTTCTTTTAAATTGTAAATCTAACTGTTTTAGTGCCTTGATTTTTAGTGGGTGCATATATTGCAAATTGTTGAGATGTTTTAAGAATGGGTGGTATATATAGTTCAGAAACAAGCAGGTAAATACAATTTTATAAAACCTATCCTTGGTTTTCGTCACCTAAAGATCCACCCTTTTCTGAAGGAAATCTCATTTAACAACTCTGCTGGAGACACCTTGTTTTTTAATGAGAATGGTGAATTAGTAGGTGGATTTGATATTATCAACTGGATAACTTTTCCAAATCAATCTTTCTTAAAAGTGAAAGTCGGGAAAATGGATCCTCAAGCTTCATGGGACAAACAATTGTCTATTAATGAGAAGATTATCACCTGGCATTATACATTTGGAGAGGTAGGACTAAACATCAAGATATAAAATTTATATATTAACTAAAGCTCATGCATAACTGGGTCCCATTCATTCTCATTAAGGGTAACAGTCATCTAAGGGAATTGTAAGGAACATATTTCTCTATTTCATAATTTCTTGCATCTCTCCTCTGATTGGTTAGGTCAAATAACAAAATATCAATACAGAACTAAATGATGAACAGAAGAGACACTGAGGTAAATGAAGATCAAGAAGGGGCACAAAAGAAGTAGCTTCTCTTAGATACAAGTAAATGTGGAGCTAATATGTTGTAAATCATCAGGTTAAAGAACCAGAGATAGCACTTGAATATCCAATTGAATTCAAACCAAATGTACAGGTATAGTATAGGGGGTACCTTGCTCAATAGTAGTAACTGTGAGAGGGATCTCGGAGTCCTAGTGGACAATCACTTATATATGAGCCAGCAGTGTGCTGCAGCTGCCAAAAAAGCCAACACAGTGCTGGGCTGCATTAACAGAGGGATAGAATCAAGATCACGTGAAGTATTAATACCACTTTACAATGCTTTAGTAAGGCCACACTTGGGATACTGCATCCAGTTTTGGTCACCACGATGTAAAAAAAATGCTGAGACTCTAGAAAGAGAAGAGCAACAAACATGATTAGGGGATTGGAGGCTAAAACATATAAGGAACGGTTGCTGGAATTGGGTATGTCTAGTTTAACGAAGAGAAATACGAGGGGGGACATGATAGCAGTGTTCCAATATCTCAGGGGCTGCCACAAAGAAGAGGGAGTCAAGCTATTCTCCAAGGTGCCTGAAGGCAGGACAAGAAGCAATGGATGGAAACTGATCAAGGAGAGAAGCAACTTAGACTAAGGAGAAACTTCCTGACAGTTAGAACAATTAACCAATGGAACAACCTGCCTCCAGAAGTGGTGAATGCTCCAACACTGGAAGTTTTTAAGAAGAGACTGGACAGCCATTTGTCTGAAATGGTGTAGGGTTCTTGTCTGAGCAGGGGGTTGGACTCAATGACCTCCAAGGTCCCTTCCAACTTTATCATCATCATCATCATCATCATCATCATTATTATTATTATTATTATTATTATTATTATTATTATTATTAGCTTAAGCCTAATAGAGAGAATCTTATCAAACTAGAGCTGCTTTGAAACATTTGCAAAGAAAAAAGCACCTTTGGGACAAAGAAAGTCCATACATTTCTCAATAAGTAACTTTTAATGCAATAATATTATCAATCATTTCTTTTTAAAATGACATCCTCTTTCTGGCCAAACAGGGCTTCACATTTAAACTTTTCTGATATAAATTTCATTTAAGTGTATTATATCTTACTCATTCTCTTTAATAAATGGTGCAAATAGCTCTCCAATTTTATTTCTCTACAACAATCATAAGAGGTAAGACAAAAGAGATAGTGGTTCTCCAAACTTAACCAGTGACCTTCTGTCCCTCAGATTAGAACATAATCCTGGATCTCTACAGTCCAAGACAAACAATTTCATAATTCTACAATACTTGGTATTGGTATTGTAGAATAAGACTTGGCATTCTTTTTAAAGTCAGATAAATCTAGAACAAAATGAAGCCCACTCCTTATTTAGAGACCATGTTCTATTACAACAGCCAGGTTATTAAGCTACATGGTCACTAAGTGAACACATGACTGTGAGAGAGACAGATAAAGATCACTGATCGTTATTATCTCATCAAGATAAATTCTCTTGTACAACTGTGCCAGTATTACTCTCACTCCAGCATGCATTATTTATTTTAATTTTATTTATAAAATTTATTGCCCCCCCCCCCATTTTATCATAAGGTAACTCTGGGAAGCTTGCAGTCATAAAAATATGTCTATACATATATGATTAAAACACAAATAATTAAAATCAGACATTAAAACCTAAGGACCCATGGAGAGGGTGAGGGTAGACTGGGTCATTTTGCATTATAGCCAGGCACACAAAATTTGGTCATAAATGTGCTCATTGCTTAGAAAATTATTTTTTATTACTGTCATTTTTGTCAATGGTCACTAACAAAGATAGTTACTAAGCAAGGAGTGGGAATCAAGACAAAGTGATATGTAATTTAAAATTTTCTCATCCATTGTATATGTAAGTTGGAAAGTCAAAGATCCAGCAGGTTCTGGTTTGAGATGCTGGCCAATTATAATGAGTGTACATAGTTTTTCTAAATGTTCTAGATATAGAAAAAATGGAGTTGAGGAAAGAGAGATTCTTGGGACAGTGTCCCAAAAGCATGCATTAGTTTTGAAAAGGCAGCATCAGTAGCATTGCTACTTGAAAAGAACCGTGGTAGTGTAGTGGTTAGAATGCAGTATTGCAGGCTAACTCTGCCCACAACTTGGAGTTCAATCCTGATAGGGCTCAAAGTTGATTCAGCTTTCAATCCTTCTGAAGTCAGTAAAAGTAGGACCTAGATTGTTGAGGGCAATATACTGGTACTGTAAACCTCCCAAAGAGTGCTGTAAAGCACTATGGACCAGTGTATGAATGTAAGTACTATTGCTATTGTTGTTCCTATTGCTATTGAAAAATCCAGGAGGTGAAATATGAAGGAATCTTCATGTGAGAGTGTGAACCAAACTGAACTGAACTAAACTAAAATGTGAAAAAGCAATTCAATTGCAGATTGTTGAAGACACTGGAGAGGTAGGAAGAGGCACAAAGAACAAAACCTATGTTATAGTTTCATAACATAAACCTTCTGACTTACATGTTTGTGTCATATGTCGGGATACCAGTGTGTAAGGGTAAGGTTGTGCTGTGACATCACCATACAGGTGGCATTATTTTGTCCATCACCATGGCCTGTTGAGGAGACCTACAGTGGAAGATACAATGAAAGAGAAACCCTTCACAACTTGTCATAACAAAAGGTCAAGGATATCACATTTCATTTATGAACATTTATTTGCAATTTTCTTCCTCTTGAAATCCATTCTGAAGCAACTTTGTTTTTGTTAAATGAATTTCAAAAAACCCATAGAGAATTGTTCTGCCTAGCATTATTCATGATTTTGCAAAGTAATGAACAGATATTGCTGAAAACTCTGAGAATTTACATTTATACTGTACCTATTGTATGTATCAATATAATACCAACTTCCTTACCAAGATAAAGAAGGCTAGAATCAAGTATTCAATGAGTGTTGCTTCTATCCATGGCAACTGATAAAATTCAAAATCAATATCTACAATCTGGGAGCTAAGGATAACTTCTTCCTTAGCAACATAAAAACATCCCGAAGTCCATGATGTCATGATTTGAGTGCAACACCCCATTGAGGCTTAACTAAATAACAAATGTGGCTAAAATGGATTCTTTTTTCCCCTGGGCAGGTTGTGCCCTTGTCCCTATGTAACCACCGCTGCCTCCCAGGCTACAGCAGACAAAACAAAGAAGGGGAACCATTTTGCTGCTATGGTTGTGCTGAATGTCCGTCAGGAAAGATTTCCAATCAGACAGGTAGAAAACACCATACTATAAACTACAAATGAAACATTTATATCACTAATTTAGTTTTATTGTACAGCAGAATGAGAGGAGGAAGATATCCCAACACTTTTCACTTATTAATATTCATGAAAACACAAGATTGAACATCATTTGCAATAACCAAAGATAGGTCACTAAGGAAATAGCAGTAAAAAGAGGAGTTAGACAGGGATGTGTATTGTCTTATTTATTATGTAATCTCATTGGTTCTTGCTTAAGTGATTCTACTTTTCATCCTCCCAAATTTATTTATTTATGTATGCACTTATCCAAATTATGTAGCTCTGGATAGTGTACAAAAGACAAAAGTATCTGAAATAATTAGAACAGAATAACATAACACACTAAAATATATGAAGCAATAAAATGATAAAGAAAAGAAAACTTCTACAACTCACACATTGGAAATCCCACTAAACATGATCCCCAAACCTGGGGAGAAAGCAACATCTTAACCACCTAAAGACCTACAGGGTTGGAATCAACTGTTCATCCAGTTAGTTCTGTGGAAATTTCATATTGACTCATTATGATAATTTGATGTGATTGTTGCCAATTATAAAATGTGCTTCCTTGGTGTGTGACATCATCATGGTTTCATCTAAGCAGGGTTGGCATAGCGCACCAGGCTACTTTCATTTTGTGGTTGAATGTGCCCTGTAACCAGAGCCAATAAGGCAATAGAACACTGAGAGGATGAAACAATTGCTGCCTAAAATGATAAATGTTTTCACATTTTCTATCCAGTTATCCTGACTCTACCAGTAATAGGGACTAATTGTAAAAAGGGAGTCTTCTTTTTTTTAACAAGAGCTCCTATCTCAACTGTTCTTTAATTTGGATTCTGGTTAGTAGAATTTCTATGCCATAGAAATCTTTAAAACTGTAACCCAAAGCTTAAAAGGTTGGGATGGTTTTTCAATGAAAAATGGATTCGTGTTTTGTTTTGTGTTTTTAACTAGTCTGCAAGCAAAATATTCACTAGAAAACAGTTTGGGAATTTCAGGAGAAGCTCATTGGAAGGATTCTGCCTGCAAGGAGCCTAGCTTTTGTCCTAAACAAAAGGAGTATTTTGGAATTACCGTAATTATTGATCACATTGTATTATAATTAAATATATTGCATTATACCATGAGAAAATCTAGATCAGATCTACAAGGCTGTCAGCCACTTCTCATGTATTTTATGTCCTCTCTGTTTCTTTCCCTTTCTCCAAGATATGAATGACTGCTTCAAATGCCCTGAAGATCAATATCCTAACAAAGAAAAAAATCAATGCCTTTCCAAGGAAGTAAATTACCTGAGTTATCTTGATCCTCTAGGCATAGGTTTGTCTGTTGTGGCTCTTTCTCTTTCTATAACCACAATCTTGGTGCTTGGAATCTTTATTAAGCACCGGAAGACTCCCATTGTCAAAGCTAACAACCAAATTCTCACTTACATTCTCCTTATTTCACTCCTTCTCTGCTTTCTCTGTTCTCTGTTGTTCATCGGCTGCCCCCAGTTACTGACTTGCCTTTTCCGACAAACTATATTTGGGATCATCTTCTCAGTGGCTGTTTCTTCTGTCCTGGCCAAAACAATCATAGTGGTTCTTGCTTTCATGGCTACTAAACCAGGAGCTGGAATAAGGAAATGGGTAGGAAAAAGATTTGCGTTTGCTATTATTTTGTGTGGCTCACTTATTCAAACATGTATTTGTGTGATATGGCTGAGTAGTGATCCTCCATTTCTAAATTTAGATATGACAACTCTGCCTGAAGAAATTGTAGTGGAATGTAATGAAGGATCAGGTAACTTGTTTTACTATATTCTGGGCTACTTGGGTTTTCTGGCTGTCATCAGCTTCATGGTAGCTTTCTTTGCTAGGAAATTGCCAGACACATTTAACGAAGCCAAATTTATTACCTTCAGCATGTTGGTCTTCTGCAGCGTCTGGTTGTCATTTGTCCCTACTTATCTAAGTACCAAAGGGAAATACATGGTGGCTGTGGAGATCTTCTCCATCCTGGTTTCTAGCACTGGATTACTGGGTTGCATCTTTGCTCCAAAATGTTATATCATCATTTTGAGGCCTGATCTTAATAGCAAAGGACAATTAATAAGAAATAACAAAAAGGAAAATACCCTTTGAAAGATCTGTACTTGTATAGAATGGTGCGGCAAAGCTCAATACAATCTGAGAAATTAATACAAAGCTTGTCCTAAAGATGTGAATAAAAATGATTTCATTCTCTGCATCTTGTAGAACCTATAATAATCCTTCACATTTTTAAAGAAAATAATATGCTTTCTCTAATTCTAGATTCACTTTTATCCTCCATTTCATACTGTGTATCCTCCAATTAAAGGAGTTTAATTATGAGTTCTGTTTATTATGCCTGGTAGAGTTAAAGGAACACTGCTAACCATGGCTTAAAGTTAAAACCCACAATATGGGAAAACCCAAATACATTTTGTTGTAATTCATATAGTAAAAATATATGATGTACAATGGACAAAGAACAATCCTTCTCAGGGTCTGGGGAAATTTCCTGATGAGAAAAAAAAATGTTTGGGTGTCTAGAGCCTGCAGAATTCTGAGATTTGAAGACCACACATCTTAAAATTTATAAGGTTGAGAAACACTGGACTCAAAATTTCCACACTAGACTCCTTCATTTAAAGCCATAAGAAGCTAACACATTTCAACCTGCCTGAATTCTTGGCAAACCTGCTTCACAAAGTGAGGGTGTGAAAAATTGAGAAAAAAATCATTTATCAACATAAAAATGGGTGATTTATTTATATCTAAAATGGAAAGTATTAGCAAAAAAAGGGATCCCATGTTGCCTCTCCCATCCAAGTATTTTTAGATGCTTTAAAATAATTTTATGGTTCTTTGGGGTCATGGTACAAACTATGTTAAATATTGAAGAGTACAATACAAGATATTTAATGGATAAAGTCAAAGGACTATGCACTCCATCAAAGGGATGCCTACCAGAACCTTAAAAATGTATGTGCCCATGTCCTTAAGAACCAAACTCTCTCTAGTACTGGAGGTATGATACCAACCTTATGTCTAGTAACCATTGATCTCCATTCTCTGCATGGCTTTCTAATATACTGGTCATTACAAGTTCATATGGAAGCAGATTCTATAGCTGAATATGTGAATTATTTTGCAACAGTCAATTCCTTAGGCAGAATTCTCTCAAATAAACCTTGTTATTTGAGAGAATAGTTTTTTAAAAAATGTTAGAGTCAAAGAGTTTCTCCAACCTATGAGCCATCATCCAGTACCAGTCCATGGCCTGGTGTACACGCACTCCCCCCACTCATGCTAGCGCTGCTGCAAGGGGGCTAGCTTCCACATGGGTGCTAATGGTCCCATTTGCACCTGCATGCAGGCACTAGTGGGCCCATTTATGCATGCGTGCTGGTGCTAGTGGCCCCATTTGTGTATGCACAGGGGCACTAGCACTGCTTCCAGTATTGGGTGGGAGGGCTAATGCCACCATCAGCATTGCGTGGGTCCTAGCGGCCCATTTGCGCATGCACATGGTATGCTAGTGCACCACAGGGGCATGTGGCTCCATTTGCACAGGTGCACAGGCACTAGCACCACTGGGATGTGAGCAGCCTGTTTGTGCATGCACGCAAGCATGCATGCACAGGCACACATAAATTTTCCTGCTCTTCCCTTTCTTTCCAGGCCTCCAAATGGAAACATTTGGGGACCTCTGATGTAAAACATATATTTACTGTGAAACTATGTGCCCTCTTACCATATTGGAACATAGTTACTTTTTTCTTAGCTATATCCTATAGTTACTCCATGTTATTCCCCCACCCATCATGTTAAATCCAGATATGATTTCCATGTCTAAGATACTATTAGCAAGATATGATGAACATGTTTTCTTATTCATTTCTGATGCACCTGATGCCATGGAGTTTATAATACTCTTGAGATGGTAACTCCTGTCATTATCACAAAGAGCTGTGATTTATCTTCTATTCTGGAAAGACTGACTAAGCTTTATAAGTCTATAGGTACCTGCAATAGTAACCCCATTTCAGTCTGTTTCTTTTATCATTTTCTGAAGACATTGTGCAGAAGTCTGGAAAACATTAAGTGTGGCACTTAGTATGATACTGGGTATTAGATTGAGGAAAAGGATTTGGTGTTAAGAAAAGGTACTTCTTCATCCTTTCAGATGTCAAAGCTCTTCTTTTGGCTACTCTTAGTGTTTCCACAGATTGAGGGGAAACCAATTCCTAATTCATGTAGCGTGAATTATTCCCTTCCTATTCAACATGAGTATTATCAGCCCGGAGACTTCATCATTGGTGCAATCTTTTCTCAACTCTTCACGCCAAAATTCAATCCATTGTCCTTCACTGACAATCCACAGACAATGGTTGAAGACATGTATACGTAAGGAAATCTTTTTTTTCCCTTTCTGATAAAAAGGACTAAAGTTTGAATAATCACCCTAAGTAGATATGAGAAACAAAGGAATGTGGTCTTATGCTTTTTAATAGAACACAAAGCTCATCTTGTTCATATAAACAAAGCCATCAACAAATATAAGCCTGGCCTAATGAAGTTTTTTTAAAATATCACTTTTTTCAGGAAGGAAGGAAGGAAAGGAGCGAGGGAGGAAGGGAGGAAGGAAGGAAAGAAGGGAGGAAAGAAGGAAGAAAAGAAGGGAGGAAGAAAGGAAGTTTTGTTTAAAAGTTAGTACAAATACATCCCAAAAAACCCCTCATTTGCTCTCAGTTTGAAATATGGCACATGGTGCAGTTTTTCTATTGGAGACTGCTTGCTACTTCCATTTAACAGAATAACAGAGTTGGGAAGGACTTTGGAGGTCTTCTAGTCCAACTAGTAGGAATTTTAGTGAGATCAACTTCAAAGTCTGATCCTACTGTCATCATGCCTAATCCTGTCACTCTTATAACAATTTCAAATATAAGTTACCGTATTTTCTGGCGTATAAGACGACTCGGCATATAAGATGACCCCCGACTTCGGAGACGATTTGCATGGTTTAGAAAGTCATCTTATACGCTAGAAAATACAGTACACAGTTAAATGGAGAATGTGCATCTTTGTCTTACATCTTTCCCATTTTGACCTCTCAATTTTCTTGATATGGCAGTCTACATTCAATTATATATATCTTTTCTGTCGTCCAAGGCTTTCATCCTCCATTTTCTCATACTTCCATGATAGCTTGTCCTGAAAGCTTCTTTAAAATTTTGAAAATGTATTTATACCACTTCTGTTTTCACAATGACTTTTATTTTTATCCATAGTTCCTCATATTGCCTTTTATATAATATATAAATTAAGCATTCGAAAACATCTTGTATTCTAAAAATAGAATATCCTCTAGGTTAATTCTTGCTGCTAGACAGTATTTTCTAATGTATCCTAGCTGACTGGACATTCCTTCATTTAGTTAAATAACATCTGAGGAAGAATAGAATGCAGTGCAGTAAGGGAACTCATTTGATCCTTAGCACATCTTCCTTCCTTCCTTTCTTCCTTCCTTCCTTCCTTCTTTCCTCCCTTCCTTCCATCGGTATTCTGCCCATACAACTCTAAATATATATATTTCAAAACTACAAAATTATTTTAAAGTACAACAACCTCTAGCTGCAACCATTTTGTTATAAGTTATGTATACCCGTTATGGGTGTTAAACAGGAGCATGATTCCAGCAACTGTACAAGATTGTGTGTGCATACATACAATGTTCTTCTTGTTCTAGCACAGTGCCCAAGAATTATCAGCATGTTCTGTCAATGGTGTTTGCTGTGAATGAGATCAATGAGAACCTAAAACTTTTACCCAACATCACCTTGGGGTTCCAGATCTATGAAAGTTACTTCAGTGCACGCATGGCTTATCAAAATACGCTGAACCTTGTATCTCGCCATAACAAGACGGTCCCCAATTACAAGTGTGATGTTGAAAGGAATCTGATAGCAGCCATTGGGGGTCTTGATTCTGAAATCACTCTATACATGGCCTCCATCTTAACTCTCTACAAAATTTCCCAGGTAAGATGGTAGAGATAATGAAAGTTTCTATCAGTAAAATGAAAATAACCAGTGTGAAAATAAAAAGTCCACTTGAGAGAAACCAGAGTGTAATAAGTTGAAAATAATATTATTATGGCAATTCAAATTTATTTTGTTTGTTCACTTGACAGGGAGATTTAAGAGAGACTGAAAAATAGAAAATATTTGGGTTTTTAGCTGAAGAATAAACCCTTTTAAATTGATGTTGGTGCGGGGAAAGTGTTAAATCACTTTGCTTCAAAGAATTGCAAAAGAATCCTGATCATTGCAACAATCCAATCTGAAGTGGTGTGTCAACTAAAAAATAGAGTCATTCGGCCTTGGAAGCGCTTAGTGAATTTTGTTAGGTTTCAAAAGCCAAACAGAGTTGGACTTTGTTAAGACATGAGTGGAAAATTGTCAAATATGCAAGAATTGTAGGCTACTTTGTGAAATTGTATCCATCCAACACTCTCTATCTCACTATCTAGCTACCCATCAAACTCTTGGAAAAAAGGCAATAATAAAGCTGGTGTGTCAGCTAAAAACTAGAGTCACTTACTCCTAGCAGCACTCAGTGAATTTTGTTATCTCTCAAAAGCTAAACAGAGCTGGACCTTGTAAAGACTTGAGTGGGAAACTGTCAAAGTAAGCAAGAATTGCAGGCTACTTTGGGAAATAGTATCTTTCCATCTATCTCTCTTTCTATTTCACTATTTACCTATCAAACTTGTGAAATGAGGCAATGACAAGACTTCCTTCCTTCCTTTCCATGCCATTCCACTCCATTCCATTCCAGTTTTGATAGTTTACGAAAGTGATGATCAGGAACACTTGAATGGCATAATCTTCAGGCAAGGATACTAAACATTAATATGATATCTTTCCAGCAAATTTGGTAGAGATTGGGAAAACAATGCCTAATCTTACAAAATATATTATACAATATATAATAGTCTCCCCTGAGATTCCAGGTACAGCACAACAGTATAGATTTTTTCTTTGCCTTTATAAAAATAGTTTCTATATCAAAGTGTGCAGTATTGGATTTGAAGAAAACATCTAATTCACCCCTTAAACCTTAAACCACCTGAAATCCCACCTCAAATGACATCAGCTCATACCATGCCAACTCTGGATAGCCCTCAGATGAACTGGAAGTATCCAGCTATTTCATGGGATTTAACAAGATCCAGCATTGATCTTTCTCTAATAACATAATATAAAATCCCTTGAAAGCAGATTAGAATTTCAGAATTCTGGAGATTAAAATGACTTAAAAGGAAAACAAAAATTGAAAGAAACTGGTAAATCTAGTAGAGAAAACAAGTCTGAGATCCCCCTAAGTGAAACAAATTCTGTTGTTCTCATTCCTCTTCCATTTTGGAACTATATATTAGAGGAATTTTTTCGATATAAGGTCTTTTGGCCCAATGCTCAGTTAAAATAGGAATAAAAGTTTAAAATGGGATGACATTCTGTGTGCATTGTTAACTATATATTCCACCTTTTCTAGAATTTCACATTTCTAACCCTCCCACCCCTAGTACCAACCCTGTAAAGTAGATTGGCTAAAAAGAACAATTGTCCCAAAATTACCAATAATTACCAATAAATAAATTACCAAAAATTACCAATAAATAAATTACTGATGAGGAATTAGAACCTAGATCTCTTCACTGCCAGTCCAACATCATATGATACATCATATTGTCTTCATTGCCTTTCTTTAAAAATGTCTGAAATTCTTGAAAATGAGAAAAAAAATATAGGTGTCAAACAAATGGATAAACTCTGCTAACCCAATGATGAAAATCTCTCTAATCTTTTCTAGGTCACCTATAACTTCTTTTCTCCAGCAGTAAGAGAAAAATATCAACTTGCTTTCATATACCAGATGACTCTTAGTGAAACTTATCAGTGAATGGACTTGTCCAGCTTCTATTATATTTTCAATGGAAATGGGTTGGGATCATTGCTCTAGGAGATGAGAAAGGGGAAATATTTGTGCAGACCTTAACACATCTGCTTTTTGAGAGAGAGATCTGTATAGCCTTCACAGAGAGAACACCTAAACATGAGTATTTTTTTCACCTGGATAAACTGGTCAATCAATTAAAGAATATACTTCTATCTCTCCATAAGTCAAATGCCAGTGTAGTTATTGCAAAGGCGGATACACACGCCATGTTGGCTATTCATTGGTTGGAGTTCATGGTTGACAATTTTGAATTACATCCTATTGACAAAGTGTGGGTTGTGACTGCTCCTTGGGATTTCTCATCTGAAACATTTCACAGACAGATAAGTATACAGATTTTCCATGGAGCCTTATCATTTGCAATTCATTCTAAGGAGGTGAAGGATTTCCAAAATTTCCTTCACAATTTGAATCCAGGTTCTGAAGCGGATGGCTTTGTCAAGCTTTTCTGGGAACAAACATTTGACTGTGCATTTGAAGATGCAGGTACAAGGGAGAATCAGCTGACATCCTGCACTGGAAATGAGCAGCTGGAGAACATTCCTGGACCTCTTTTTGAAATGCAGATGACTAGTCAAAGCTACAGCATCTACAATGCAATCTATGCTGTGGCTCATGCTTTCCATGCTATATATTCATCCAGAAGTAAACACAGATTGGGGATTGATGAACACTATGTTGAGTCTTCCAAATTACAACATTTTCAGGTAATGTCCTTCACATTAAGCAAGCCTACCTTTTTAATGAGTAGATAGCAATTTAGGAGGTAGAATATGTGTTATTCCTACCAAGTAGGACTGTGGTTCAGTCATTAAACTCTAAAGAATTTGATTACTCACCAAGTCATTATACAAAAAGCAGTTGAATATATACCTGTTCATTTGAGTACGGACAAACTACCCAAACTGAAAGGGATCATTTTTCCCCATCTACTGTTTCTCTGCAACATCTTTTCCTTCAAAGCTAGTTTCCTTCATGAGCTTATAGTGGGATGAAAAGCAATTAAATCTAAAATAATTAATTTACATTCCTAGCATAGGCACCTACAACAATCTGCAAATGCCATCAAATGACAATATATGGGTCCCAATGTCATCATACTTCTTAACCTTTGTCCCATACTTCTTAATTTGTGTCATGACTTGGCGGGTAATAGACAATTTGGCACAGATAGACCATTAAGTCATTCCAATGGAATAGAGATGAATAATTTAATGATTCTACCCCTTTTCAGAGGCCTTGTCAGCAGTTAGATCTTGAAGAAGAGATTCAGTCTCTCAAAGAAGCTAGTTTTACTCCTCAGTAAGGTCTGGCTGATACAAAATAAACAGAGTGAATCCACTGTTCAATCATGGGTGAGAAATAAACTTGTGTATGAAACCTGAAACACAAGTAGGCACTCTACCACTAGTTTGCTGCTTAACAGTTTTCAGACTCAGAGGACAGAACTGGTTTTGGAGCTGATGCTGAAACACCTAAACTTGTATACCAGACTTTAATTGCTTATATTGCTAATTTTAATTATTATTGCTACTTTTCTCCTTTGTTCTTCTGAATTATAAATTTAACTATTTTAGTGCCTTGATTTTCAGTAGGTACATCTATTGCAAACTGTTGAGATGTTTCAAAAGTGGATGCTACTGTCAATGGTACTGTACTGTAGTTCAGAAATAAACAGGTAAATACAATTTTGTGAAACCTACCCTTGGTTTTCTTTACCTAAAGATCCACCCTTTTCTGAAGGAGATCTCATTTAACAACTCCGCCGGAGACATCTTGTTTTTTAATGAGAATGATGAATTAGTAGGTGGATTTGATATTATCAACTGGATAACTTTTCCAAATCAATCTTTCTTAAAAGTGAAAGTTGGGAAAATGGATCCTCAAGCTCCATGGGACAAACAGTTGTCTATTAATGAGAAGATTATCACCTGGCATTATACATTTGGAGAGGTAGGACTAAACACCAAGATATAAAGTTTGCGTCTTCACTAAACCTCGTGCATGTTTGAGTCACATTCATCCTCATTAAGGGTTACGGTCAGCTATGGGAATTGTAAGTAACACATTTCCCCATTTCATAAATCCTTGCAGCTCTCCTCTGATTGGTTAAGTCAAATAAGAAAATATCATTACAGAACTAAATGATGGACATAAGACACCATGAGTTGAATGAAATGCCAAGGAGGGGCACAAAACAAGTAGCTTGGTAAATAAAAAGTAAATAAAAGTAAATGTGGAGCAAACAAGTTGAGATCCCCCAAACCTAGACTCAGGTTCAAGATCAGAGAGGACACAGCAATATTCAATCAAGTTCAATCCTTTATTTGCTTACATATTTACATATTTATTTGCTTACAAGACAGAATCTTGGCAAACTAAAGCTATTTCTAACCTACTAGATATATCATGAGAGATTCTAGGGTGAGTTTACTTACAATCTGCCTCCAAAAGCTGTAAATGCTCCAACACTGGAAGTTTTTAAGAAAAAAGTGGACAGCCATTTGTCTGAAATGGTATAGGGTTTCCTGCCTGAGCAGGGGGTTGGACTATATGACCTCCAAGGTCCCTTCCAACTTTATTATTATTGTTATTGTTGTTGTTCTTGTTGTTGTTATTATTATTGTTTACTTTAATTTCCTCTATTCAACTCAGGACTTAATCCAGGCCTTTCTCTGAGAAAGCTCTGTATTGCCAAAACTCTCCTAAACCCCACTACTTCTTCAGGTGCACATTCCATCACATCAGTTTCCTCATGAGTCCATTTCCTATAAGATGGGTTATAACACTATCTTTGAACAAAATGTTTGTGAATAAATCATGTGAAAATGTAAAAGTATGATATACGATGAAGAGTTTGAACTAAAATTTGAGAGAGTCAGATTCAAATCCATTCTCAGCCATGGGTGGCTTGGAGACAGACACTATCTTTCAGTTCGTTCTACTTTGCTGCAGGGGAAAAAAGATGATTATGTAAGTAGAATATAAATGTAAGAAATAACAGAAAGCGTTTCAAAACATCTAGTCCTTGGGGTTACAGAAAGATGTCAAAAAGATATTAATTATATGTTTAGAGGTATTAGATGTAGATTCTCAAAACTAACAGTGGTTTTAAAAAGAGAGAGAGAGCAAGAAAGTCCATAATGTCTATAGGGGTTCTCAATCATCCAGGTCATGGTTATTCCAAAGAAGCTTCTTGGATGAGAAGCAAAACATTTTCAAAGAAAAACACCCAATAAAGCCCTATTGCCTTTTGGAGAAAAAAAACACTTTTGGGATAAGAATGTCCATACAGTCAATGAGTAAGTTTTCAGATATTGCTGAAAACCCTGGGAATTTATGTTGATACCTGTTTATCAATTTCCTTACCAAGATAGAGAAGGCTAGAATGAAGTATTCAACCAGTGTTGCTTCTATCCATAGCATTTGATAGAATTCAAAACCAATACCTACAATCTGGGAGTGAAGGTTCTCATCCTCCATGGGTTAACAATATTTTGGGCACAAAATCACCCTAAAGTCCATGATACCACGATTTGAGTACAACACCATGTTGAAGCTTAACTAAATAACAAATGTGGATAAATGGATTTTTCTTTCCCATGGGCAGGTTGTGCCCTTGTCTCTGTGTAACCACCGCTGTCTTCCAGGCTATAGCAGACAAAGCAAAGAAGGGGAACCATTTTGCTGCTATAGTTGTGTTGAATGCCCATCAGGAAAGATTTCCAACCAGACAGGTAGGGAACACCATAATATAAACTACAAATAAAACATATATGTCATAAATTTAGTTTTATTGTACAGCATGATGGAAGAGGAAGATATATGAATACTTCCCGTGTTATGCTATACTTTTGATGTGAGTTATAAGAATGTATGGTGAAAAAATGCTTCATAAATAATCAAAGTTCATTCTGCTTCTATACCTGAAAAATTCTTGCTGAATCTGGAGCTGGATGTGATCTCTCTTCCCAATTGGCCCCCATATTCAGAAATACAATTAAACAGCTGAAATGTAGGAAAGCCCCTAATTCAGATTTTATTACGGTACATGTCAAGTAATAAAAAATAATTTGGAATGGGGGTTTTCATTTTTCATAGCAATAGATTGTTAGCTTCACCTTTCATAGCAATAGATTGTTAGCTTCACTTGCTGTTCCATTATACCAAAAAATTGGGATTTGATCAAAAGACATGATCCATCTAACTTTGACCAAATAGTTCATTAAGTCTGATCAACAAAATATAGGCTAAACATCTGCAAGATAAATTAAGTGACTGGTTTGTATTTGAAGACACTTGGAGGGATGAACATGCTGGGTTTAGAGCAGGCCAATCAACATTAGACCATGCTATGGTGCTACAACACCTACTTTAGGTCAGCTTTTGATACCAGATTTAGATCTAAACTGCAGTATAAATTTGAATACACAATAGACAAAAGTTTGTTTCTGCTGCTCATTAATATTCATGAAAATATAAGATTGAATACCAGGTGCAATAATCAAGGATATATCACTAAAAAAATAGCAATAAGGAGAGGAGTTAGGCAGAGATATGTATTGGGTCCAAATTTATTTATTATATAATTTTATTGGTTCTTAACTTAAGTGACTCTGCTTCTCATCCCCCCAAACTATGTAACTCTGAACAGTGTACAAAAGACAAAAATCATGACATAATTGGAACAGAATAACATAAGACATTAAAGCATATCAAGCAATAAAATGATAAAGAAAAATGAAAACTGCTATAACTCTCACATTGGGATCCCAAAACTTGGGGGGGAAATAATATCTTATCCACCTTCCTAAAGACCTGTAGGATTGGAGTCAACCGTTTGTCCAAGTGGTGCAAATTTCATATTGACTGTCATTAAAATGACCTGGTGTGACTGTTGCAAATTATATAATTTGCTTCCTTGATGTGTGACATCATCATAGTTTATCCAAATACACTGAATCATCATCTAAGCAGAGTTGGCCTAATGCACCAGGCTACTTTCATTTTGTGGATCAGTGTGCCCTGTAATCAGAGGCAATAATCAATGGAACACTGGGAGGATGAAACAACTGATAGCTAGAATGTTAAATGTTTTCACATTTTATTAATGATAGCTCCTATCTCAACTGCCCTAGAATTCAGCTTCTTAGTAGAATTCATTTTTCCTATGCAATGGCGGGTTGGAAATGCATAAAGGGTTGTAAATGTTTTTCAATAAAAACTGGATTAGTGTTTTTTTCTTTTACTAGTGTTTTCTTTTACAATATATCAATTAGTTACAGTATACCTAATTAATTAATTGCCAAATGCAACCAATTTATCCACTAAAAACCAGTTTGGGAATTTCAGGACAAGCTCATCAGAAGGATTCCACTTGCAAGGACCCTAGGTTCTGTCCTAAATTAAAAGAATATTTTGGAATTTCCCTAATTATTAATTACATTGTATTATAACTAATAACATTGTTTCACAGTATGAGAAAATCTAGATCAAATCTACAAGGATGATAGCACCATTTTATGTCCTCTCTGTTTCTCTCCCTTTCTCCAAGATATGAATGACTGCTTCAAATGCCCTGAAGATCAATATCCTAACAAAGAAAAAAATCAATGCCTTTCCAAGGAAGTAAATTACCTGAGTTATCTTGATCCTCTAGGCATAGGTTTGTCTGTTGTGGCTCTTGCTCTTTCTACAACCACAGTCTTGGTGCTTGGAATCTTTATTAAGCACTGGAAGACTCCCATTGTCAAAGCTAACAACCAAATTCTCACTTACATACTCCTTATTTCACTCCTTCTCTGCTTTCTCTGTTCTCTGTTGTTCATCGGCTGCCCCCAGTTACTGACTTGCCTTTTCCGACAAACTACATTTGGGATCATCTTCTCAGTGGTTGTTTCTTCTGTCCTGGCCAAAACAATCATAGTGGTTCTTGCTTTCATGGCTACTAAACCAGGAGCTGGAATAAGGAAATGGGTAGGGAAAAGATTTGCATTTGCTATTGTTTTGTGTGGCTCACTTATTCAAACATGTATTTGTGTGATATGGCTGAGTACTGATCCTCCATTTCTAAATTTAGATATGACAACTCTGCCTGAAGAAATTGTAGTGGAATGTAATGAAGGATTAGGCAACATGTTTTATTATATTCTGGGCTACTTGGGTTTTCTGGCTGTCATCAGCTTCATGGTAGCTTTCTTTGCTCGGAAATTGCCAGACACATTTAACGAAGCCAAATTTATAACCTTCAGTATGTTGATCTTTTGCAGTGTATGGTTGTCTTTTGTCCCAACTTATCTAAGTACCAAAGGGAAATACATGGTGGCTGTGGAGATCTTCTCCATTTTGGCTTCCAGCACTGGATTACTGAGTTGCATCTTTGCTCCAAAATGTTATATCATCATTTTGAGACCTGATCTAAATAGCAAAGGACAATTAATAAGAAAGGGGCGTTGTCTTACCTGAACGCCTTTTCTCAGCATGATGATGGAGAATCCATGGATGGGTTGTCTTAATCTATCTGCTCCAATTAGACTAAGTCTGAAATTTAGTAACGCCCCCTCTCTGCCAATTGCACCCCAGTTTTAGGCTAAGGCGATACTCAGACTTTAGTCCGATGCGTCTGAACAATATGGGAACCAGGACAACTGACCTAATGGGAGGGAGTGGATTCTCCATCATCATGCTGACAAAAGGCGTTCATGTAAGACAACGCCCCTTTCTCCAGCATGATTGGATGGAGAACCCACGGATGGGACATACCAAAGCCCAGTGTCCCTAGGGTGGGAAATTAGATTGGGCCTGGGTGCCATCCAACGTTAATGCGTGCTCTAGAACCTTGCGGCCAAATGAAGCCATAGAAGAGGCATAAATATCCATCTTGTAGTGACGGACAAAGGAAGAGGGTGATGCCCATGTTGCTGCTCTACAAATTTCCTCTACGGAGGCCTGAGTAGACCAGGCAGCTGTAGTAGCTGCGCCCCGGGTGGAATGGGCCGTGATATGCCTGGGAGCTTGCAGTGACTGAGTCTGGTATGCCAGAGAGATACAAGCTCTAATCCACCTGCCTATAGTGGGTGAAGAAACCTTTTGTCCTAATGACAAAGGGTGAAATGACACAAACAGAGCCTCTGTTTGCAGAAGGATGAGGTTCTCTGTATATAACAATATAAAGCCCTGCGCACATCCAATTTGTTCCACTGAACCTCTATGTCATTAGATGGGTTAGGACAGAAGTCCGGCAAAACTATTTCCTGAGATCTATGATACAGGGAATTAACCTTGGGCACGAAGGAGGGGGTCTAACCTAAGGGTTATCCTGTCCTTATGGAAAATACACAGGTCCTTCCTTACTGACAGGGCAGCCAGCTCAGATATCCTTCTGGCTGAAGTTACAGCAACAAGAAATGCCACCTTCATTGATAAATGTTTGAACAAACAAGTGTCAATAGGTTCAAAGGGTGGTGAAACAAGAGCCTGTAAAACCTGATGAAAGTCCCAGGAGGGGTATCTATGTACAGTTGGTGGTCTGGCGTTGTTAGCTCCTTTTAGGAAGGAGCTTATCATAGAGTGCTGTGTTAAGGATTCATTGCCACAGGAAATAACTGTGGCAAGTGCTGCTACCTGCCTACGGATGGTGCTTGTGGAAAGCCCTTTGTCCAGACCATCCATCAGAAACTCCAAGATGACTGGCACTGAAACCGCCAATAGGTCAATTTTGTGAGCTAAACACCAATTACAGAAGCTTTCCCACGTGGCATCGTATATTCTATTCGTCGAGGGTCGCCTGGATTGCTGGATCATGGCTATGACCCTTAACAAATATGAGTCTTGGCCTAATGCCTGCCTCTCAAGTGCCAGACGGTTAACTGGAGCCATTGAGGGTCCGGATGGCGTAGCTCCCCCTGAATGAGGGAGATCCGGTTGGCTGGAATCCTCCATGGAGGGGATGCGGAGAGCTCCATCAGGTCGGCGAACCACGATCGTCTCGGCCAATGAGGCGCAACCAGGAGGACCTCTGCTTGTTCGTGAAGGATATTCCTGATCGTGGCAGGTAGAAGCGGTAGGGGAGGGAAGGCATAGAGTAGTTTCCTGGACCAGGGACTGCGGAGTGCATCTGTTCCTTCCGCTGATGGAGACGGGAACCTGGAAAGGAATCTGGGAAGCTGTGAGTTGGTTGGGGAGGCAAAAAGGTCTAAGGTTGGGGAACCAAACCTGTCCACAATCTCTCTGAAGACCTTCGGATCCAGCTGCCATTCGGAATGGTCCACGGTGACTCTGCTCAGTGAGTCCGCCTGCTGGTTGGCCACTCCAGAAATGTGCTCCGCCCTGATGGAGGCAAGATTCAGTTCCGCCCAAGACCCCAGCAATTTGGCCTCCTGCATGAGAGGCTTGGACCTTGTTCCCCCCTGTCTGTTGACATGGGCCTTGGCTGTGATGTTGTCGGTTAAAATCAGGACATGCTGGCCCTGTACTAAGCTGCTGAATCTCTTTAGGGCCATGTGTATGGCTCTGAGTTCCAGCCAGTTTATATTGTTCTTTAGATCCTGCCTGGACCACTGACCCTGGGCCCAGTGTGTGTGGAGGTGTGCCCCCCACCCAAACAGACTTGCATCTGTGGTGATGGTGATCCTGTCTGGTTCTTTGAATTCTATTCCCCATGACAGTGCCGGAGAGTCCCACCATCGAAGGGAGTTCAACACCGACCGTGGAACTCGGACCTTCTGGTGGGATGTGCTGGTGTGAAGTCTCTGAAATGGAAGGAGAAGCCACTGTAATTCTCTGGCATGGAGACGTGCCCATGGCACAATTTGCATGCAGGACACCATCTTCCAGTAGTTGTGATAAGGATGCCAATGTGACTACTCTGTCCTTGCGGATTTGACGTACAAGGGTCTGAATAGAGTTCCGTCGGTCTTGAGATAGGTAGACCTTACAATTGTCTGTGTCTATAACAGCGCCCAAATGGAGGAGCCGAGTTGTTGGTACGGTATGACTTTTCTGGAAATTAACAGAAAAACCGTGCTCCTGAAAAACCTTGATGGCTAGGGCGAGGTCTGACTGAGCATTTTGGAATGATGATGACTGAATTAGTATGTCATCTAAATAGCATTGAACTCTGATGGGAATTTGTCTAAGGTGGGCTGCGAGCACTGCCAGTACCTTTGTAAATACTCTCGGTGCAGATGAGAGGCCAAATGATAGGGCTCTGTACTGGTAGTGGCGTCGGGCATAACTGAATCTGAGGAATTTGCGGTGGTCAGGAAAAATAGGAATGTGCAAACATGCCTCAGTCAGGTCTATCGAGGTAAGAAAGTCAGCTTGTCTGATGCTAGCCAAGATTGATTGAAGTGATTGCATCTTAAATTTCTTATATCTCAAGTAAAGGTTTAGACCTTTCAAGTCTAAAATTGCCCTCCAGCCCCCCGAAGTCTTGGGAATGACGAAGAGGTTTGAGTAAAACCCTCGTCCTTCTTGGTCTTGTGGTACTGGTTCAATTGCTTGTATTTGTAATAAATGAGCTATGGCTTCTGACATAAGATCAGCTCTGGTCCTGCTCGTTGGAATAGGGCAAGAGCGGAATCTGTGAGGTGGGTGGGAACAAAATTCTAGCCTCAGACCTTGGGTGACGGTGGCTAACACCCATGCATCTGTAGTGGTGGCTGCCCAAGTGCTGGAATAAAGGGCCAGCCTGCCTCCTATGGGAGGTGAGACTGCGAGATCACTTGCCTCGTTTAAAGGAACGGCCCCCTGTGCCTCAAAAGGGTCGCTTGGTCTGGAACTGTGATCTGCCTCTGTATGCTGAATGAACTTGTTGCCGTTCCTGTCTCTGAAAGGAGGATCGAGAAGCCTGGGCCTAGTCTCAGGATGGAGCTGGCCGAAAGGGCTGCCTTCTGTAATTACTCTGCGACATGCTGTTCCCCGAACGCCTGTCTCCTTTCTTTGTTGTGTTAACCAAAGTTTTACGTTTGTCCTTACCTTCGGTTAGGTATGGCTCTAGTGCCTAACCAAAAAGATGTCCACCTGTGTAAGGTTTAGAGGCCAGATGCCACTTGGCCTTGGTGTCTGCTCGCCAGTTCGTGAGCCAAAGGAGCCTTCGTGCGGAGATGTCTGCCGCGATGGTCCGGGCCATGTGCAGGGAAGCGTCGGCTAGGTATTGAGATGTGGCCACTAGCTTACCCAGATTCTGGTGAGCTCTGAGTTGGTCCGGGGGGGTCATATCCTGGAGCTCCCATAACCATAGGACCGAAGCCCTGGCAAAGAAGGCCATGGATGTTGCCGCCTTTGTTGCCCAGGCTGATGCCTGGTGGGACCTGCATAGTGCTGACTCAATCTTTTTATCTTCTGCCCTAAGTGCCTCATTTATATCCCCAGGGATGTTAGCATTGGGGAACAATGAGTTCAAGGGCTCATCAATCTCAGGAGTCTCCAATAGGGAGGCCAGAGAGGGGGCAACATTGAATAATGTTCTCTCTACTGCACTAGGACCTGAGAGGGATCCTAAGTTCTCCCATTGTTTTTGAACTATATTCAGAAAAAGGAGAGGGCAGGGAATATGGTTCTGCGAGACTGAGGGCTCAGTGTATATGGCGTGGGGACCCTTGGATGTTGTAGGTGGGGTCTCCTGCTCTTGGGGGAGGTTTGCAGTGGTGCAGGCCTTGAGTAGCAGGGAATTAAAGAATGAATGGTCAAAGAGACCGACAGGAGGGGTGGGGTCAGATGGAGTGATGCCCTCGTCCTCAGACATAATCAGGCCAGATGGTTCAGCCCCTGTTGATTCCAGATCTGATGAGGGATCATCCATCATCTCTGGAGAGTGGGGATGGTACATGGATTGGGAGGGTGGCTGTGGGGTGTTGGAGGTCATAAATTGAGCCACAGCCTGTGCTATCATGGACTGAAGATAGTCCTGACTCAAAGCCTGGTTCTCGGGAAGGCGAAGCCCTGCTGCAGTGGGGGTGAATGTGGCCTGGGGCCCCAAGTTAAGTGTGTCCTGGCCAGTTGTGGCCATCCCTGAAACCACTCTTGTGGCTGATTCTGATTGGGGAATTCCCCTGGGGGGAGACCAGGACCCTGGGGTTGAGGCACAATGTGAGGAAAGAGGTTCAAAAATGGACCTTCCTGTTGTGTCTGTCTGACCTGCGGAGGCCGCTCTCAGTCTTTGGGACTTCTCCTCCCTCATCTGTGGCTTATTGGTCTCCCTGCTTGACCTGGCTCGCTTGGTGGTATTCTTTCCACCTGCCTCTGTTGGATGCTTCCTCTTGGCCGGCTCTTTCTCTGCCATGCTGAATCTGCTTGGGCTCAACCTTAGCAAAAACGCCCTCCCCTCGGCGTTGTAAACTTACTAAGGGAGCCCGAAGGGATGATCCGGCCCGGTGAGGGGGCGTGGGCAATGGGGGTTGGTGGGCACTGCGTCTTCCGGAGCGAGCTGGCCCTCCCCAATCCAATCTGTCTGTGGAGATGAT